AATTCTTGGTAAGAAATGTACGCATTATCCTGCCCATGTAATTGTAACCCCTCTGTACAGTATGTTCACAAATAAAATTAAATTAAATTAAAAAATGTAGATATTACACTTAGAATATGAAAGTGAGAGACTGTTTTACCATTAGGAATGGTAGAAATTAGGTAACACAGGGCTGTGTTTATAGGTTTCTTGCTACTATAATTATGTTTAATTTTAATTTTTGTCTCTGATTTGTGCTGTTGGACATATTTACTGCTTTAACACAAATTGGATAAAGAATAAAGATACATAAAATTACCATTGTTTTTAACTTTCAGAGTGTGATTTCTTTGAATTAAGATTCTGTTTTGCCTTTAACTAGATTTTTTAAATGCTTTTAAGTGTTCATGACTTTGGAGAATGAGCACTTGAGAAACTAAGAAACTAGTGGGGTAGATACAGATACAAATTTATGAAAATTGTTAAAATTTTTGAGTTCAGTTATGTTCAAAACAAAATCCTCTTGTGATTTGATTATTATATTCCTTTTTAAAGCCCTAATAAGTGCTTTCAAATTTATTTCAAAATGGTTTTGCTTGCCAAAGAATAAACAGAATTATGTTGTGATGTATAAATGGCTAATTCATTACTATATAAATATATATGCTGGTAAAAGAGCAGTAAATGATATTTGATAAAAGTGATCAAAGTAAATGTATAAGAATATATGAAGGGGCTGGGAAAGTGGCTCAGTGGTAGAGCACTTGCCTTGCATGCCTGAGGTCCTGGGTTCGATTCCTCAGCACCACATAAGCAAAAAGAAAAAATCTGGAAGTGGCGCTGTGGCTCAAGTGGTAGAGCGCTAGCCTTGAGCTGAAGAGCTGAGGGACAGCACCCAGGCCCAGAGTTCAGGCCCCACGACCGGACCCAAAAAAAAAAAGATATATGAAATGATTAATTGAATTAGTCTATACTCATTTTATATAAACAGTATTCTATCCAGATCCATTAGGAAATTTGGTTTGGAAGATGAGTATGATAGGATAAATCTTATAATATACAGTTAAATGAGAAATTTAATCCTGTATTTTTAATCCTAATTGGTATACTCTAAGATTTATTTTATTTCTTTGTGGCTCTGACTTATCTATACCTCCATATACCTGAGTGTGTGTGTGTGTATAGTTTTATGCAGTTGCTGAAAAAAATGAGAATGAAACAGTAACATCCTTATTTATAAGAATGAGTTTAGTTTTCTTAGAAAATGTGTTATTTTTTAAATAACTGATAAATGGAATTATAAGTACACACTATTATAGTGCATAGATAGTGTGTATATAGACTGTATATACACACTATTATGCAATGTGTTGGAACACTTGAAATAGAATCACTATTTTCAACACGCAACTACTTTTTCACTTTTTGTGGTATCAGGGCTGAATTCCAACCTCATGCTTACTCAGCTTGTTTATGGTTGGTGCTCTACTATTTGACTCACACCTCTAGCCCAGCTTTTTGCAGCTCAATTGGAAATGGAGTCTCATGGATTTTCTGCTTGTGCTGGCTTTGAACCATGATTCTCCAGATCTCAGCCCCAGAGCTGGAGGTGGCATGAGCCACCAACACCCAGCCTCACCACTTTTGAAACCAAACACCTGTGTCCTCAGAGGCTGCTGAATGCACCAGTGCAGATGTGATGACCGCTTACCTCCTCTCCCGTCAGAGTCCTCTGCCAATCAGAGATGGTCTGCTTGCCTAAAATGCAACCTTTGAATGTGGTATTATAGCACCAATGTAACTGATTATGATTAGAGTTTCTATATTATCACATCAGTTAGGCACCGATTTAGTTTACGACTAGAATTTTATATATTATCACATCATTTAAGGATATTGCATTAGAGAATAAAGCAAAGTATCTTTATATCATTTTTACAATATTTTGTTCATAGTACTGAAGACTATTTCAATTTACAATAGATTGATGTGAAATAAAATCTCTGTAATAATGAGGAACTTAGAGAAAAGGATACAATCTAAGAGTAATACTGGTGTTTAACCTCCTTGCACAGAATTGACTAGTAATAAGCACATTTTTTTGAAAGGATGGAAATAATGGATAAATATGTAGTATTTTTCTTATAACCACTCCAGAAATCTGAGTTAAGGAAGCACTACATCTTAAGTATATAAAAAACATCTCTAGAAATAAATTTCTTTCTTTGCTATGCCTAAGCATAATTAATATCTGCTATCTGTTTCTATTATATTTTAGGTATTTTGTGTTTGTTTTGAGTACAATAGTGTGTGTGTGTGTGTGTGTGTGTGTGTGTGTGCATATGTGTGTAATTGCCCAAGAGACAGAGAGAAAATATAAAAATCAAAATTAAAGAACAAGAGGGGAAAAGAGAAATAAAGAGTCCATTAATTATTAATTACTCATAGGCTGGTAAATATTTTATAAGATATAACAGTTGAAATCTTGCTTCAAAATAGTTTAATTTGTAAGAATTTTGGTCTTGCATTAGCCTGTTTTGCAGCCCTGTGATAAAATATCTCACATAACAACATCAAGGGAGGAAGTACTTATTTTGGCTTCTGGTCTCAGAGGGTTCCATTTTCATGGCGGGCAGGAGGAGGGAGGCACAGAGGGGCAGCTCATGACAGAATAGAGCAACTCACATCATGGCAGCCAGGAAGCAGAAAGAGAATCTCTGAGCTAGTAGTCTTTTTTCTCTCCCCAACCTAGCACCCAGCCTACTTAGTGGTGTTGACCACATTCTGGACCTGTCCACTTTCATCCTCCCTGGAAACACCCAGAGGTGTGTGCTTTGCTAATCTCCTAGGTATTTTCATTCCAATCAAGTTAACAAGATGAACCATGAATCAGCCATGGTAGTACAGTCCTGTAATACCACTTTGGTAAAGCTAGCATAAGACCCTAACTGAAAAACAAACTAAAGGCAAAGGGATCGCTAAGTAGTAAAGTGCTTGTTTAATAATCAGGAGTTGTGAAGTCCAAACTATGGAACAGCATCAACAGGAAAAAGAAAAAGAAAAAATTAACCATCAAAGATATTTTGTTTAGGAAACAAAAGTGTAAATTACAGAACTATTCTACTATATTATATTCTTTTTTT